TAGCCACAAACTACTCAAATAGACTTCCTGTGGCCCAGGAACTGCAAGCCTCTCAGAGAAGCCCTGCCCGAGTTCCTAGGAACCTTGAGTATGCTGATAATTGACCTGGAGTTTCCCTCTCAGGAGTTCTGCCTGCTCATCGAATAGGTCTGCCCACCATTTCTTAAAACATCCACAGCTTCCTGTCTCCTGAAATGTCCAGCCCCTCTGTGTCCTGTAACGAGTGTGGTCCTGCCTCTTTTGTGAATTCTACCCCTGGGAGCTATTCCCTGACTGTTGATCTCTCTGCCTATTTCACCCCTCCTTCTAGCTTATAGGGGACTGCTTCTTACTCACAGTCTTTTGTGTGTTTTGTTTAGGGTGTGTGGGTACTTTGAGACAGAGTCTCACTATGTAACTCTAAGAGGCCTGAACATCGCTATAGAGATGAGATCCAGAGTCTTCTGCCTCCACCTCCCAAGTACAGATCTCTACTACAGAGGTCTGCAAACATGCATCTCCATGCATGGCTCTTATTTTGGTTCTTCTTTCTTTTCTTTTCTTCCTCTTTTTTTTAAAGATTTATTTATTATTATATATATAAAATGTTCTGTCTGCATGTATACCTGCCCACCAGAAGAGGACATCAGATGGTTGTGATGGTTGTGAGCCACCATGTGGTTACTGGGAATTGAACTCAGGACCTCTAGAACAGCAGCCCGTGCTCTTAACCTCTGAGCCATCTCTCCAGCCCCAAGATTTATTTTCTTGTTGTACATAGTGGCACACACCTTTAATCCCTGCACTGGAGAGACAAAGACAGGCAAATCTCTGAGTTTCAGGCCAGCCTAGTCTACAGTGAGTTCCAGGACAGCCAGGACTGTTACACAGAGAAACCCTATCTTGAAAAACAAAACACTGACTTTATTTTAATTTATATTTATTATTTATGTATCTATCTTGTGTGTGGGTGTTATGTCCACATATATGTCCGTGGATTGCATGCGTGCCTGGTACCTGTGGAGGCCTGAAGAGGGCATCAGTTCTCTCTTGGGACTGGAGTTAAAGATCACTATGTAGGTCCTGGGAATTAAACCTTAGAGTCATCTCTCTGGCCCCAATTTAATATTACTTTTTTGCTAGTGTTAGCAAATTTAATATTACTCTTTTTTTGCTAGTTTGTTAGTCTATGAAGTCTGTGCCATGTGTGTCTAGGTGTCAGACAGTTATGAGTTGCCCAATGTGGGTGATGGGCACCCAACGTAGATCCTCTGAAGAGTAGTAATTGAGCCATCTCTCCAGACCCTTACACCAATTATTGTTGTTGTTGTTATTCTTAACTAGTTTATGTTGATGAACATTTTGCCTGCGTGTCTCTGTGTAACATGTGAGTTCCTGATGCCCATGGAGGTCAGAATAGGGCATCGAATCCTCTGGAACTGGGAGTTACAGATGGTAGCTGAAATATGGGTGCTGGAATCAAACCCAGGTTCTTCAGAAGAGCATCCAGTGCTCTTAACCTCTGAGCCATCTTCCCAGCCTCTTAGGCCAGTTCTTGATGGAAACTGCAGAGCGCATCAACTCTGGTGTAGTGCTAATGCCAGAGTGCCTGGGTTCAAATCCAGCCTTGTTACTTACTAGCCGAGAGACCTTAGCTATGTTACTATGTTACTGCTCCTCTCTGTGCCTTAATTCCTCAATAACACAGTAATATTACTTCATAGAATGAGTTTGGGGCTCGAAATAGAACTTGCAAAAACAGTTTGGACACTGCCATTCAGCCATTAAGTACTCAAAAAAATGCTACCCTTCCATCCACTCCAGCCCATACTGAGCAAGAATCACTAAGAATCAAAATGACATTTATCACCCTCATGGCACCCCAGGGATTTTGGCTTGGTGTCATATACCAACTTCCGCAGACACTCACTAAAGGAATTCCCTAGCTGACTTTAAATTCTGCCAGTGCTCTGAACCCCTGGCTGACTGGAAGACAGCTCCTTGCTGTCCCACAGGTAAGCCTTGCTCATTTCTGCTCTGTGCCTTTTCTCATGCAGTTCCTCCTCCTTGGAATTCTAGCTCTACCTTCTCCCTTCCCATCTTTTCCTTATCTGTTCAAACCTTGCCTCATCTAAGAAACCTTCCCTGACTATATCAGTTTCTTCTTACTAGTTTTCTTTTTTATCCTTCTCTCCTATTTTATATCCCAACTGACTGCAGCTTCCCACCCCCTCCACTCCTCCCAGTCGGCCCACTTATATCTCTCCTCTCCCCCAGATCCACTCCTCCTCCATTTCCCTTCAGGGAGCAGGCCTCCCAGGGGCATCAACTGAAGTTGGCATAACAAGTTATGGTAAGACTAGGCACAAACCCTCATACCAAGGCAGGACAAAGCAACACCCTAGGGGGAAAAGGGTCTCAAAAGCAGGCAAAAGAGTCAGAGACAGCTCCACTCCCACTGGTAGGAGTCAGTCCTACAAGAACACCAAGCTATACAACCATAACACATATGCAGAGGTCCTAGCTCAGACCCATGCAGGCTTTGTGATTGTTTCAGTCTCTTTGATTCCCTGTGAGTCCGGCTTAGTTGATTCTGTGGGTTGTGTTTTCCTGTTGTCCTCAGCCCCTCTGGCTCCTAGAATCCTTCCCCCCACCTCTTCCTGGGGGGAGGGTTCCTTGAGCTCTCTGCATAAATGTTTGGCTTTGGATCTCTGGTCTGTTCCCATCAGCTCCCAGAGGAAGCCTCTCTGACAACGACTGGGCTAGGCACTGATCTATTGAGTATAGAAGGTTATCATTAGGAATCAACTCATTGACTTTTTTTTTTTTTTTTTTGCCAGTGTGTTTGGTTCTAGCCTATGTCTCTGGGCTACCCAGCCTTGGTTTCTGGCCATCAAAGGGGGCTGCCTCTTGTGGCATAGGCCCATGAGTTAGACCAGTGGCCATTGGTTGACCACTCCCACAAGTTCTGCACTACCTTGTAGATTCCAGGGAGTTCCCACTGCACTAGGTTTCCACAAAGTCCTCCAAATCCCCCCAGTTCAAACTCATCTCTCCTCATATTCGCTCCCTCCACCTTCCCCCCACTGACACCTGATCCCTCTGTTCCCATCCCCCCCATCCCCATCTACCCACGAAATCTCTTCTAGTTCCCTTTCCCAGGGAGAAACACGCATCCACCCTTGCACCCTCCTTGTTACTTGGCTTCTCTGGGTCTGTGTGGATTCTAGCCTGGTTTTCTTTACAGCTAATACCCACTTAGGAGTGAGTACATACCATGTTGTCTTTCTGGGTCTGAGTTCCTTACTCAGGATGATTAATTTTCTAGTTTATTCATTTACCTAAGACTTTCATGAGGTCATTGTTTTCTATAGCTGACTATTATTCCATTGCATAAACATACCACGTTTTCTTTATCCATTCATTGGCTGGGAGACGTCGAGGTTGTTTCCAGGTTCTGGCTATTACAAATGAAGCTACTCTGAACAAAGTTGAGAAAATGTCCTTGTGGTAAAATGGAGTGTCCTTTGGGTATATGCCTAAGAGTGGTTGGTATAGCTGGGTCTTGAGGTAGACTGATTCCCAATTTTCTGAGGAACCCCTATATTGGTTTCCATAGTGGTTGTACAAGTTTACACTCCCACCAGCAATGGAGGAGTGTCCCCCTTGCTCCATATCCTTTCCACCATGAGCTGTCACCTGTGATTTTGATCTTAGTCACTCTGAGAGGTGTGTTTCTCTGTGTAGCTCTGGCTGTCCTGGATGGAACTCACTTTGTAGACTAGGCCGCCTGCCTCTGCCGGCCTCTGCCTGCTTCTGTCTCCCAAATGCTGGGACTAAAGGTGTGTGCCACCACCACACCCAGCCCTATATCAGTTTCTTCTTCTCTTCCCCTTTGAATTCCCTCCCAGTCAGAATCGGGAACCATGTTGCCAGAAAACACAAAGCAATCATTTGGGTCTTGGTCACGTAGCCTCAAGAGGTTATTAAATTCCGTTAGCTTGTTTGAGGATGTGTTGGACATTCAACACAAAGCTAAGTACATGCACTGGGCCCCACCTCCAGCCCAATAAACACTTTAAGAATCAGCATGTTCTCTCTTCCCCTGCCCCCTTGACCCCAGCACGTAGCCTCATGCTGGCTTCCCCGTAGGTATCCAGTAAAGACTCAGCTGCTGACATATCTGGCATAACTCAGATTTGGCTGCGGGAAGCTGGGGCCCTGGCTTGATTTCTGGCAGTGAGTTCAATCAGAAGGTAGGAAGCTGGTTCTGCTGACTTCACGTGTTTCCTCAGTGGTTCAGTTTGCAGAATGAGCAGGGTCCTCAGGTGAGCCCTTCGCTGTAGAGACCTTGAGACTAAATGGATCCTTCGGTTAATGGTTGACACTGTCTGTTTATCTAAATGATTGCCAAGAGTCCTGGCTTGCCGATGGCACACTTTGTGGATTAACTGCTTTGGTCCCAAGAGTAGAAGATAATTTCTAGGTTTTTATGGTTTTGGTATGTAACTGGAAATAGTGTAGTCTGTCTCCAGCTAGTAAGCTACTTACGGACAGTAAGTAGATGCTACCCTGGTATTGCTATATAGGGAGGGAGCAAGGCCGTCCTCCATTTTGACCTCAGGCATTTTGTCCTCTCAATTATCCATAGTTTTAGAGGCTGGGATCTAGAAGAGATAGCATCCAGCACCAGAGTGCTCTCTGCTGCTTGCCCACACAGTGGGCCCCCTGAAGGCCGAGAGTCGGGCAGAGCTGAGGGATGTAACGCAGTCAAGTCCAGTTCAGTACCTCAGATAGGGCCCAACATGACATTCTGGTGACAGTGATGCTTCTCTTCCTCTGGAACAGGGCAAGAACTCTAGGTCCAAATCCATTGGGAGCTCAGGGATCAATCTTGTTTAATGATTGTGTGTGGGACAGGGGTGGGGCTGGTTAATGTTTCTCTGCTTCCTCTTGGGCTATGGGCCACGTAAAGCTCCGGTCCTGGACTTATTGTCCCTCCCCTGGGCTGGGCTTTGACAGTACCTAGTGGCATTGAACAGACACGCCTGCATACATTCCCTGGGAAAAGGTAGCTGCAACCAGGTGTGGCAGTGCCTGGGAGGTGAGGAGTGTGGGGAGGGAGGGGGGCTACGGTGGGCTGATGTGGTGCTGGGGTCGAAATGCTGGCTGGAGAGAAGCCTGGGTCTTATCTTCTGACTTCAGCATTCAGCCACTTGGGGCCTTTCTGTGCTTCCCTCTGAGCTGGGGTGGCGTCCTCCTGCCAGGTGCCCAGGCTGCTTAGATTCTCTCTTCAGCCTCCAACTCCTACCTTCTTTCCAGGCTCCGTGTTCTTCTTTCTCCCTTTTCTCAGCCAAAGATTCTTCTCTTGCCATGGGGTCAGAGTCCCAGGAAGACAGACTTGAAGAACCTGAAACATAAGGTGGCCAAGTTTGCTTTTCCAAGACATTCTCTGGCATGCAGGGTCAGGGTTCTGTGGGACTGTCAGACAATGCCACATGCCGCTTTCTTTTCTGGGCCACAAGGTAAAGCAGGCACGAATCTGACATGGGCCTGCTAACAGGGCCAAGGATGTGGGAGCATGCCTTTCCATTTGCTTGAGTGGGGGGCAGGCAAGCTCAAGCTGGACTTGGTAACTGATGGTTTGAGGATTTACTAGAAGGGTGGCTCCCAGCTGTTAAGAAGCCATTCCAGCTGGCAGAATCCACGGACTTAGAGAATGAGATGGGGGAAAGAGAACATACACAAAAGGTTTTGTTTTGTTTTGTTTTTGAGACAGGATCTCCCTAAGTAGCCTTAGCTGGCCTTGAATTTGCTATATGAACCAGTCTGGGCTCAACTCAGATCCTCCTGCCTCTATCTCCTGAGTGAGTACTAGGATTAAACGCATGGACCAACCAGCCCAGCCACAAAAGAAGTTTTAATAGGCAGAAACCATTGGTAAGGGACCCAGTCTGGGAAGAGGGGCCAATATGCTTTGCAATCTGAGTTGTACCACTTGTTTACCGGCTGTGTAATGAGTTAGAGTGTTTGCCAGGCATAGCGGCTTATGTCTATAATCCCGGTTCTCAGAAGACTCGAGGCATGAGGATTGTGGGTTCGAGACTAAATCTGGTTACATGTGTGAACTGGGGTTGTTTGGAGGACGAGAGTTCATGAGCATGCAATTCCTGATACTCGGGGAACATTCTATAAATGGTGGCTGTCACAATGAGCCCAAACAACACTAGCAAGTGAAGTGGATGATGGAGGAGCAAATAGCAATAAGCCAAGCATTGAAAAGAAAAGGAATGTCAGCAGAAGCCTTCTGAAGAGGCTGGGGTGGGGGGGGGGAGAAAAGTGAACGCACTAGACTGGTCATGGTGAGCAAGCCTGACCATGACAGATTGATGACGGGGTGGACACTAAGTCAGTACCTGAGATTCTATAGAACCATGGGGTGGAGGCGTGAAGATAACAGGGAAAAGACAGAGACAGGTGAGGCTGGCTTTAATCACACCACCCTGAGGAAAGCGTCCCCAAATTCAGAAGGAAGTCCCTTCCTGACTATGGGTGGTCTGTGAGACAGGAAAGAACATAGAGTTTGGGTTAATTTTTTTTCTTTTTATTGTTTGTTTTTGAAATAGGATCTTATGTAGTCTAGGCTGGCCTCAGACTTACTAAGTAGCTGAGGATAACCTTGAACTCCTGATCCTTCTGCTCCCACCTCCACAGAACTGGGAACAAATACACAAGTACTACCGCTTCTGGGGATTGAACTCAGGGCTCCTGCCAACTAGGTAAGCACTCTACCAACTGAACCACATCCTCAACCCTGGTGTCTGGGCCTGAGTATAATAACCTTATCCAGTCCCACCAGCATCGCGTTGCCCAAACCCACAAAACACAAGGAGTCACATGCAGGTGGAAAGAGTGACAGGGTAGGAAGGGAGACTGAGGTGGTAAATGCGTCATGTGTGCACACACATGCCAACACGCACAGGAGTACGGCTTTGGGGCTGTGTGCCCTGTCTCAAAGCAAACATTCCTTCAGAAAAGGGGCCCTCAGAAGCAGCGCTCTGCGCAAAAGCTTTGAGGTCAGAGCAAAATCAATTTGCAATCTGATTCCATTAGTTGGCAGTAGAGCAATTGCCAGTGAAGCAAGTTACTGAACCCCTCTCTCTCTGCCTCAACTTTCTGGTCTGAAAAATGGGGATGACATTACAGAACTTTTTGTGAGTTCCTGCTTTTGTTCTGTGCCCAGGGGCTGGGCAAACCAGAATTCAAAGCCTGACAAGGCCTCAGAAACCCCATCTAATTAAACACAGAGCAAATCATGCCTGCTGCAACTCAAACCATATCAATAGCTGGACTTTAACCTAAAGTCAGGAAAACAGTTTGGATTTCAAAATCAGGTCACTCCTCTGGATGTTTTTAAAATACAGCCTTGAGGTACTGGTGTTGACATAGACAAAGCAAAAATTGAAACCCCAGTGCCCACACAAGGGTTCTCAGAGGTCTCAAAGGGAGCTATTGGCTGTGTCCCAGAAAAGTCAAAGTAAGAGGCAAAGAATTTCTTAGAAGGACCTAGAAACTTGAGGTTGATCAGGAGGTTTATGGGGCACCTCTGAGGGGAAATAGAGAGAAAACACCTATGTTTGCTTTGGGGTTCATGGGAACAGCCTGAGAAAAGGAAAATGAACTAAATCAGGAGGCCAGAGGAACCCTGGGAAAGAAGCTTTGAATCTTCTCGGCCCTGAACCAACATGGAAAGAAAAGTGGTAACTCTGTAAGATGCTGTAGCATTTACAGAGGGGGGGGGGGGAAGGTAGAACTTAACAATTTAAAAAAAAGCTATGGGGCTGGAGAGATGGCTCAGTGGTTAAGAGCACTGGCTGCTCTTCCAGAGGTCGTGAGTTCAATTCCCAGCAACCACATGGTGGCTCACAGCCATCTATAATGAGATCTGGTGCCCTTTTCTGGCATGTGGGCATACATGGAGGCAGAATGTTTTAATAAAAAAAAAGCTATAGACAAAATGTGGACTCTCACATCAGCTCTACCTCCCTCAAAGGCCATCTCTGTGACTGCACGGTCCTAGGGAATGACCCTTTCTTTTTTTTTTGTTTTTTTGTTTTGTTTTGTTTTGTTTTTCAAGACAGGGTTTCTCTGTAGCTTTGGAGCCTGTCCTGGAACTAGCTCTTGTAGACCAGGCTGGCCTCAAACTCACAGGAATCCGCCTGCCTCTGCCTCCCAAGTGCTGGGATTAAAGGCGTGTACCACCACCGCCAGGCGGGGATGGCCCTTTCTGCCTCAGTTTCCTCCTCCATGACAAGAGGCTGAAAATAACATCCTACCTCTCCAAGATGTTCCTTAATCTTTTTCTTTTATATTGTTAGCCTATTTACATGT